TATTCACAGATGAAATTTTAATCATCTAACACGTAATAATTTAATTCTGCAATGGCAACTCAACCATGCCATTGTAAGTATATCTATTTATGTATTAGCAATTCAACCATGCTTCCTTAAGTATATTTATTTATACTTTTAAATAGCAATTCATCCATGCTTCCTCTACATGAAATTATTCATAAATAATAAGGCCATATATATTTAAACCGATGGCAACTCACCCATGCTTACAATTCAACCATGTACCATATTGTAAAACTAATTTAACCACATACCAAACCATACCTAGGCATTCCATGCATATAATAAGCATACCATTTAAGAATAATAAATATATATAAATATACATATCTATATACAAATACTTATATATATACGTCATTCCTTACTAACCAAATATATATATATAGACAGTTATATACACTTCCTTCCACCCCCAACTACTAATTAAAATTATATATGCACATGAAATACCCAAGCGATACTCTATGGCTCCCAAAACACTACGAACGCATCCGCTGATGGTTGTTTTCAACCCTAACCGTTTAAAACCAATTCTGGGAATTCACTAGGATCCCCAGGAACTTTCCAGGACCCCAAACACTATCCCACGCGCCCTCACGCGCCACTACACAGTCCTAGACTTGCTGCACTTGCCTCCACGTGCCACCAGTCACTGGCTGCTGTCCTCACGCGCCTACACGCGCCGGATTTGGCCCTCCGTGCGTGCTGGCCTCTCCTCATTGGTTGGCCTTCCTTGTCATGGTGAGCTCACCCACACTAGATCTTCATCTACCCTTTAGATTGCATCCAGTGGCCAAAACATGCAAACACACCATCTCTTCATGGACCGCGTCGCATCAGATCTTTCCGCTGTTGACTGGACCTTACCAATGGTCCAGATCTGTTGTGCACCTAAGTTTTATACGCCGTATCACACCACAATAGCTTCTTATCATCGGGGCCATTTAACGGTCCTGATTTAAGCGCACCAAGGCACTGTACACCTTGCCGCATTGAATTCCAGCCCCTTTATTTGGGTGCGCCGATCTCAAGTCTCCAGTATATAATATATACACGATATATATATAATAACTTCTAAAATCATAAAATAATTCCAGAAAATTCCCATAAAATCCCAGAAAATTCTAGAAAAATCCCACAAGCTTAATTTAATTATTTTGAGCTTAATTGAACATATATAGTTAAATTAAGATCTATTTAATTCAATTCATCACGATACACCAGGTTAAAGCAATCTATAAAAATTTCTGCAACCAAAGTTTAATTAATCTAATCTTACATACAAGATTTTACATTATCAGACATTACATACATACATACATTCACATGTTTAAACTTATAATTTTGTAAAGATTAAACATGCTCATATAATCCTACTAATAAATTAATTTAATTGAAAATAAATAAATAAATAAATACATAAACTATAATTTCGATAATCAGGTGATAGGTTTATGAGCCCTAAGAGGAGAAGTAGAGAAGAACTTGCCTTTCTTTTCCAAATCCGGTCTCCTCTTTCTTTGATCCGGTTTCTTCTTCGTTAGCCCTTCTTTTTCTCTCTCTAACTCTCTTATTTTTCTAACGTAGAAAAAACTTCTAACCCTAAAGTCTTATGTGTCTATTGAAACACATAAAAAAAAACCCTAAATCCTTTTCCCATTATGATTACCATAAAAATAAATAATATTTATCTTTTAACTAATATATATACATAAATATATTTTAATATAAATATATATATTACCTTCCATATATAACCATTAGTTAAATAAATTATATATACCTATATATATCAATATATATTTATATTGACATATATACCCCTCCACATGATTAAATATACCTATATATATCAATATATATTTTTATACACATATAATTATATAGGTATAATTATGCAAAGATAATTATTAAATATCTTCACAACCATGGGCCTTTAATAATTAACCCAACATGGCTTCCTTCAAGCCTAATACCACATCCTTTGACCCAACCTCCCTTAAACCCAATCCAAATATTTTAAATACATAAACTAACTAAATAAATAATACACGCAAGCGTAACTACACCTAAACCCAATAAACAATTCACTCATTAGCATTTCGCAAATCAAACACTACAATTTTAACAAATAAAATTATAAAACATAATTTAATTAAAATAAGACAATATATCTACACCCTTAATTAAATAAAACAAACCATAATTTATCTACGCACTTAATTAAACAAAACGAATCATAAATAAAATAAATCATAAAAAATAATAATAATAATAAAATAAAAATAATTAATTTTAATTAATTAATCCTTTAAAAATATTGGGGTATTACAGCAGCAGGCCTTTAGGGCCGCTTGCATCAGGCTTCAAGCGTACATCGCCGAAAAACGGCTAGAGAAAGAAGCAATAATAGAGCCAGGACCATCGGTCAATCTTACTGAAATCGATCGGTTCAGTAATGAAAAGTTGGATGCAATTCAGTTAGAAGACTTGGAGTTAGCGCCAGCAAAGCTCGACGATCTTAAAGCAGACACTCAAGATCCTTTAAAGGAGGTGAATTTAGGCACTGACACAGAGCCTCGATCTACTTATATTAGTACACTGTTAGAACCAGAATTACAAGCCGAGGTTATCGGTATGTTGAAACAATACAGTGATTGTTTTGCTTGGAGCTATGAATAAATGCCGGGTTTATCCAGAGATCTGGTGGAACATCGGTTGCCCATTAAAGATGGCTACAAGCCATATAAACAGCCACCTCGTCGAATGTCTCAAGAAGTAGTAAACAAAGTCAAGATGGAAATCGAACAATTATTGGATGCTGGCTTCATTCGAACTACAAGGTATGTTGAATGGTTATCAAATGTTGTCCCTGTTATTAAGAAGAATGAAAAATTACGTATATGTGTTGATTTCTGAAACATAAATTTGGCAACGCCAAAAGATGAATATCCAATGCCGGTAGCCGATCAGCTGATTGATGCGGCTGCAAAGCACCAAATTATGTCTTTTATGGATGGACACTCAGGCTATTATCAGATTTATATAGCCGAGGAAGACATTCCAAAAACAACTTTTAGGTGTCCCGGATCGATTGGAACTTTTAAATGGGTGGTAATGCCTTTTGGGTTGAAGAATGCTAGGGCCACATATCAACGAGCCATGAATTCTATTTTTCATGATATGCTCGGCAAGTTTATGGAGGTGTACATTGATGATGTGGTGGTAAAATCAACAACAAGGAAAGAGCATTTAGTCCACCTCAAAGCATCTTTTGAGAGGATGAGGGCTCATAAGCTAAAAATAAATCCAATAAAGTCTGCCTTTGGAGTATCGGCAGGAAACTTTTTGGGTTTCTTGGTTCATCAAAGGGGTATAGAGATCGATAGGAATAAAGCTAGGCGATTATTGATGCTAGTGCACCAAGAAGCAAGAAACAGTTGCAAAGGTTACTTGGACAAGTGAATTATCTTAGGAGATTTATTGCTAATACAGCTGGGAAGTTACATGTGTTTTCCCCGTTACTTAAGTTGAAGCAGATGGAAGAATTCAAATGGGATGATATTCATCAAAGGGCGTTTGACCAGATCAAGCAATACTTGTCGAGTTCTCCTGTCATAATGCCATCAAGGAAGAAATGGCCGATGAAATTATACTTATCGGCTGCTGAAGAATCCATTGGAGCTATGTTAGCACAAGAGAATGAAGCAGGAAGCAAACAAGCGACATATTACCTCAGTCGAGTTTTAACTCCAGTCGAGTGTAGATATACACCGATTTAGAAATTATGTTTGGCCTTGTATTTTGGAGCAATGAAATTGAGAGTATATATGTTGCCTGTTTTGGTTTATATTATTTGCCAAACCGATCTTATAAAGTATATGCTATCAAAGCCGTTAATCACAAGTCGGATTAGCAAGTGGGCTTTGGAGCTAATGGTATTCAATTTTGCATATGTTCTACAAAAGGCAATTAAGGAAAGAGCATTGGCAGATTTTCTTGCTGATCATCCCTCGCCCGAAATTGAGTCACAAGTATTTGATGAGCTTGACTCGGCATCCATATTCATGACTCCATGGACTTTAATGTTCGATGGGTCAAATACCAGTGAAGGCTTAGGTGCTGGTATAATGATAATATCCCCAACAGGGAATCAAATCTCGTTTTCTTTCTTTTTGGATTTCAGATGTTCAAAGAATCAAGCCGAATATGAAGCATTAATTATCGGCTTAGAAATTTTGTTGGAAATGGCAGTCAAAGATGTCCACATTGTGGGATATTCGAGTTTAGTGATTAATCAAATCTCAGAAGACTTTAAATGTTTGAATTGGCAATTAAGACCATTTCATTCGTTGGCAACCCAATTGGTTAACCAATTTCACAATGTGACTTTGGAATATAGACCAAGGGCCATGAATAAACTAGCTAATGATTTAGCACAGACAGCTTCAGGAGTAAGGGTGCCGAGTGGAATGAAGGAAAGAGTAATGAGGATTACACGCCGATCTCTTCCATCAGCTGAAACAAGAAATCAAATTATGGAAAAAGTCTTTGCCACTGATGTTGCCGAATTGGATGATGATGATTGGCGAATTCCTTACATCTTGTTTTTGCAACATCCAACTCCTGAAGCTGATCGAAGAATTAAAAAAAGTGCAGTCGATTATGTGCTTATGGATGGAGATCTTTATAGAAGATCGGTTGATGATGGTTTGTTATTTCAGTGCATTAGCAAGTTTGAAGGTCTGAAGATTATGGCTGAGGTACATGAATGGATATGTGGAGCTCACCAAGCTGGCATAAAAATGAGGTAGTTGATACGCCGATATGGATATTATTGGCCAGGAATAAGAAAAGATTGCATGACTTATGCAAAAGGTTGTATAGACTGTCAAAAACATGGTCTAATATAGTGGGTCCTAGCAATAGAAATGCAATTACTAGTTAAACCATAGCCTTTCAGAGGATGGGCTATGGATCTAATTGGCAAGATTAATCCTCCTTCATCAAAAGGTCATCATTGGATTATTCTAGCTACCGATTGCTTTACTAAATGGGTAGAAGCCGAGGAATATGTATCGGTAACTCATAATACCGTTATACAATTTTTGGAGCGACATATCTTTCACCGATTTGGATTACCGGAAACAATTGTTGCCGATAATGGATCTATTTTTCGAGCAAATGAAGTATTACAACTTGGCCGTGACATGCAGGTGAAAATGGTAATTTCAACACCCTATTATGCTCAAGGGAATGGTCAAGCCGAGGCTTCAAATAAAGTTGTTATTGAAATTATTGATAAAATGATAAAAGACAAACGAAGGCGTTGGCATGAAACTCTTTCAGAAGCCTTATGGGCCTATAGAAACTCAAAAAGGACAAGTACGGGAACAACTCCATATCGGTTAACATTTGATCATGATGCGGTGTTGCAGATGGAATTAAACGTTAAATCGGCAAGGGTAGCTTTGCAACATAATCTCATACCTGCTGATTATAATGAAGCTATGCTAATTGAGTTAGAAGATTTAGATGAGGTCCAGAAACTTGCTTTGGACCACCTTATGGTTCATAAAGTAAAGTAATGAAGGCTTACAATAAAAAGGTGAAGTTCAAGTCATTTGCAGAAGGTGATATGGTGTGGCAAACAATCCTTCCACCTGGGAAGGTGGATAGAGTTTATGGCAAGTGGTCACCTACTTGGAAGGGTCCATATTTGGTTCATCAAGTGTTACATGGAGGCGCTTATAGGTTAAAAGATCTAGATGGTGAAATCCATGAGAGACCAATAAATGGAAGGTACTTGAAGAAATATAATCCAACTATTTTTGAACTTATGGAGGAAAAGAAGACCTCCACTAAGTAAAAAATAGATTGGATTGTTTTGTTTTGTTTTATGTTGTTTCGTTTTATGTAAGTTATTTTGAAGCCAATAAATCAAAATAAAGATATAGTAAAATGAAATTCCGGAGGTCATTATACCAAATATTGTCCAAAACATTAAATCAAGCCCACAAAAAAGTAAGATTGTTCAAAACCATATTACAGTCCTTTGTAAACAGATAGTTCTTGGTGTAAGAAAATAATCAAGGTTGGGTAAAGTTTGTGTAAAAAACTTCAAATTTGGTCTTGAAACCGGCCCAGGAGGTAATGGTTTGTTAGAGCTTGGTCTCTGCTTGCTTCTTAGACCGCTCCAATTGAGGTAATTGGGTCTGCAACGCCTTGAATTTGGGAGCAGCAGTTTCAGCTTGGATTTTTAATTCCATCACTTTTTCATTAAGCTGGGTCTTGTCTAGCTGTAATTGAGCAAGCTCGGCTAGAAGTTTCTTCTCTCTGATCTTTAACTCAACAGCTTCTTTCTTCAAAGATGAGTGGAGTTCTTTGCCCATTTTCAAAGTTTTGACCAGCTTTTCCTTTTCTTGGGTTTGAGCAGCACAATGGTGGAGGATTTGAGTAGACTCGGCATAAGCAGTCATCATAGAAGGGACTTGAAGTTGGAAGTTCTTGAAGAAAGCTTGGTCACCTAAAGAGAATCTTGGGTAACTACTCAAGAAGGACAAGGTTTCAGTTAACTCATTTCTAAATGAAGGTGCTAGAGACAAGTCTTGTTGCACCATTTGGGACAGGATTTGGATGGCTTTTGTAACTTCTGGGGGTGTGTCAGAGGTTTGCTCAGGTGAAATTTCAGGAAGTTCAAGATCAGGTGGGTCAAAAACATAATCAAATAACAAGTCAAGGGTTGCAAAGGGAGAGCTTGGGTTGTTACTGACAGGATTGGTTGGAATAACCGAGCCTTGTTGTACCTCAGATATGCCATAGCTATAATAAGTTTACAAGAACATGTTATAAAAGAAATGTATAAACACATATATCATTACTTACTTCATCAGAATCTCCGACTTGTTCATGAATTGATGCTGCAGCCAAGGGTGGAGAAGGCACAGGGGACCTTTGTTTTTCACCAACTGATAACTCGATTTTCTCTTCTTCTCCAGCATGGTCTGTAGAAATTTCTTGAATTGATTTTTGTTCTGAAGAGAGTAGAGTTTCCTGAAATCAATGCCGACTTAGTTATATTATAAAGAGGAAAAGTAATATATGAGGTCAGGCAAAAAAGAGATTACACTAGGAGAGGCAGCAGCAGGTTTCCTTTTCTTAGATATAACCTCTTCGTCATCCTCTTCATCATCATCATCAATCAGTTCAAAATGTCTTTTAGCTCGTGACTTTTTGGGTTTTTTCCCTTCTTTTTTGTTGTTTTCTGGACAAAAGTGTTAGCAAGAAAAAGGGGTATGCATAAAAAGAATAAATATATAATTTAGTTAAGGGTGTTACCTTAGTAACCGAGGATGGAGGTATGCTTTGAAGAGGGACATAAAAATCGACTTGAGTTTCTTCAGATTTGGTGGATTTCTCTGGGGCATTGGAATGAGTACCTGAATTTATGATTAATAAGCATATAAACCAGATAGAAGTTCTATGGAAAAGATAAAGATATATAAAACTTACTTTGCCGAGAGCAAGATTTGGTCCTACCTGCAAGAGCTGTGGGAGGAGGGCGAGTTGGTGTTGTATTTATTATTTTCTCTGGTTCAGGAGCAATAGAGGAGCTATGGGTTCAATGGAATCTAAACCCTGAAAGTTAAGGGAAACGAACTTATAGGAGCCAAGGAGAGTGCACACGAGCTGACTGGAATCCACGGTCCTGGTAAAAGTGATGTAGTATGTCCACCAATCCTCAAACTTTGGGTCAGTACTGGGTTTTTCAAGGAAGGGTTTATACTGAAACCCTTGAAGAAGTTGAGTGAATCGATTAGACACATCTTGAACCTGTTCACTGTTGGAAAGCTTCACTCGCCGGTGATAGTTCTTGTTGTAAGAAAAATGGAGAGGTAATGGGATCATCTGCGTCAATCCAAATTGCCGAGCTAACTGCGCTGGGTTATAAAACTCAACCCCAGTTCGGCTCTTGGGAAAATTGGGAGCAATGGTATTACAAGGTATGTCTCTTGCGACCAAGAAGTGGCCCATGAAGAGATATAAAGGTTAATCTGTTCAGGAGAAGACTCGGCAGTTAGAGGAAACAACCAAGATAGAGTTAGTTGATATTTAGAAAAAGGAAGGAATTGAGATTGAGTCCTGATCTTGCACTGATGATAGAAGAATTGAAAACAGTCATTAAAGGAATGGTCTTTGGGTTTGACTCTATCATATCCAAATGATAGTAAAGGATCATTTGGAGCAGGCCGAATGGGAGAGAATAACTCAGGGAAATATGCCTGTAGCCAGAACTGATATAGCTAGACTGGACCTCCAGATCTTGCAAAATTGGAAGTAATAAGGTCGGATAAGCCTCTATACAAGGACGTTAACAGGAATGGAGCTAAAGCCATGGGTTTCCCTTTGGATAATGCGATAGCCAATTAGGTAAGGTCCTTGGTAATCTGGATAGCAGGAGCACACAACAAGTATCTACACAGCCACAGTAGTAAAAATCCTATGTGTTCTTGTTCATCTACATCAGTTCCTTCTTCTCCTAACATTTCTTTCAAGAATGGTCCATGTGATTGCACAAAGGGTTTAGCCCCTTTCTGTTCTGGGAAGTAAAAGGAGGTTTTTTCATCTTGGAGGAGATAGTTGATTTCATCTCCTCCAAGTTTTAAACCTGTTAGAAAGCAGACGTCCCTCAAGGTAGGGGCCATCATGCCACAGTGCAAGTGTAGTGAATTGGTTGTGGGGGACCAAAAGTGCAAAGAGGCAAAAAATAATGCTCGTTCAAAAGAGAAGGGAATCTTACTAAGCTGAATGAGGTCAAAAATACCCATCTTTTTCCACTGCTCTCCTTTTGCTGCTAATACACGATCCACCAAATCGTTCCATTGGAGCATCGATGGATGCCACTTTCTGACAGAGAGAGTTGGTCGGTCTCCTTCCGCTGTTAGATAAAGAATTTTGGAATAAGGAAGGTGAGGTTCGGCTTGTGGATAAATTGAAGCTAAGAAAGGGGGAAATCGAGTAACAAATGCTGGGCCAAGTCACTTAACATTTTCAGAGAGGTCGATTAACGTATTAGAATTCAGTTCGCTTTGATATAGGGTTTTGATCGCTGATTTTGTTAGTTGGGTATGCGATGTCGCTTCTGGAAAAGGGTTTTCCAAGTTTAGATCAGTTTGTTTCATTGTTTTTGAAGTCATGTTGCAGAAAAGGTTCCGTTAGGGAGAAGATTGGAGAAGAAGGGTTTGTGGTAGAAAGAAGAGTCTGCAAAAGGTTATGGGTTATGCAACAGCCGTGTTTGGTGGAAGATATGTGATTACGGCGATAATTAATGAGTGATAAGATGGTTATCATAATCGATATGTGTTGGGAAGCGAATCGAGATAAAACTGATAGGGTTATTAGATATATACAGAGTTATGATGCAATGGGTGTGTTTGAATTTTGGAAGCCGAAGGGTTAAAACGGCTACCAAAATTGGGGGGCATTGTTGACACCCATTTTGGTATTTGGATTGTTAACCCATCTTCGGCCCAGTCATGAAAACCAAATACCCTTGGCATCCGTTTTGGTAATTGGGTTTTGGCCCTAATTGGATTTGATGAGCAATGAAGCATTGGGCCGAGAGAATATAATGGGCTGAAACATATTACAATGAGGTTGGGCTAGGAGGTATGTGGATTCGCAAATGATTTGGTTCCGGCTGGGATAATGCAATGCAGTTAAGTTGTTGGGCCATACACATCACATGGATATGGATTACAAGAGAGAGGGCAATGACGTGATACACACAAGGGCGTCACCGATCATATGGATTATATTTGAAATACTTTTGAATTTTATGTTAGTTAAGAATTAATATTTATCTAGGAACTTTAGTTTGAATTTAAATTCAGTATTAAGTGATAGAGTTAGAGTTTTATTATAATTAGAATACTTATTAGTAGGAATTTGATTCTAATAATTTCTATAAATAAACAAAGAGGCATGCTGAACAAAAGGTCCAGTACCCTCAGAATCCTTATTATTATTTTGTTTGCTTTCTCAAGCACTTTCCTCAAATAGCATTCTTGCTATCTTTATCTTTCTCTCTATTTCAGTCTTGTTCTATCTCTCTCCCCATATCTCTTTCTCCCTATCTCTTCTCCCTGTCACTTTCTATATCTATTTCTTCTCTTTTCTATTCTCTTATTACGTTACTATAAATTGTTTACGGAAAGTCCTTTTAACTAAGGCATTTTTGAACCCAAAAGAGGAATTTATTTGTTCTATTTTTCCTCGCATCGTCTGAGAGTCAACTTTCTCAAAGGGACTAAAGTTGACAATTCACAGTTGAACCACCCAAGTGGTTCTGGCACGCCTGTTTTACATCAATTTAAGATCGGATCTTAGGAGCCGATTTTAGGGTCAACAATTTATCATCAAATGGGACCCGCAAATTCAATTCCATTTTTCCTACTTCTTTATCTCAATTCGGCAGCCCCACCTGCCTCATAGATGATATACACTATATATATATATATATATATATATATATATATATATATATATATATATATTGTACACAAATCCATCCACCACTTGTTTAACAATTCAAGCACAAACAATATCTCCTAATGGTGAACCCCACAAATTATCATTTCCATTCACCAAAACTAGAATTCGTAGCCATCATTCTTGAGTTACTTTTGGCCTCATTTATATACATATCTATCAATTGTCCAATAACATGCAATCAGTAGAATGAAAATCCAAGACAAAATAAATATCAATCAAATAAAACACACCAAGCTCATTGGGCACCGAAAATGAAAAAGAAAGGATACTATTCCACTGTCTTCTTAACAAATCAAGGCCCAACATCACTGATAATCATTCTTGACAATTAAAAATAATAAAAATAAATATAAATTCAATTTTTAAAAATTCGAGTTGTCACAAATATAATTTCATGAGTAAAATGAAGATATGACTAAGAAAATTGGTATTTTTGTCACTGTAGGGTTTGGAGAGTTTTTAATTTCAAACCCTTAGAGATCTCCTGTTTATAATAAAGCAACCTTAATTTTATGCTAAAACTCATCTTTCACAATAAAGATATCTGCCAATTTGTACGAGATTTACCTCATAAAAAATGAAGGGATAATTTGTTATGAGTATAATAATATTGTTGTCTAAATAAGCTTGGCTTGCAGCCCTAATTTTCACCATCACTTCACTTTGTTGAAAATGAATACTGTTTAATTACATCAGCCACAATTAACAAGGTTTATAATTTATACAACAATGGAAAAAAGTTAATATAATTTCATAAGTAAAATAAAGAACTTAAATATATATGACAAAGGTAAAAAAATTTATATTTTACCATTGTAGGGTCGAAGACTTTTTTATTTCGAACCGTGACTCTCAACTCATAATAAAGTAATCTTATTTTTAACTCCTCTTTCACAATAAAGATATGGAGGAAATATATACTAATTGTATGCCAGAAGATCTCTCCTAATAATGTAAAGGTTCTAGTTTTTATTATAGTAAAATTAAAATAAATTAAAATCATTGAAATAAAAAGAACTATATATCATTTATATTTTTATTAAAATATTCATAACAAATACTCCATGTGTTTCAAAAAATATGTATCATGATTCCCCAAACAGAACATCTAACTTAGGACAAAGATAGTACTAACAAATAGCGTGTGAGACAAATTGTCAAAGTCAAGTTCTTCGTCGGGGAAAAAGCTAGACACAATAGACTAAAAAAACACACAAATATATTGAGAAGAAAATATATATATATATATATATACTACTTCCAACCCATATTAATTATTAACTTAAAAAAAACTTAACTCTAATATGAAATATAAATAGTACTATATAAATATATAAAAAAATATATATATGACTAAAAATACTCAAAAATAAATAAAACGTAGATCCGTGGAGTGCCCTACAAATAATGTGCGAGACAAATTGTCAAACTCGAACTCCTCGTGGGGGAAAAACGAGGCCACTGTACTATATAAATATATAAAAAAATATATATATGACTAAAAATACTCAAAAATAAATAAAACGTAGATCCGTGGAGTGCCCTACAAATAATGTGCGAGACAAATTGTCAAACTCGAACTCCTCGTGGGGGAAAAACGAGGCCACTGTCCCTATCCAATTCAAACAGCAGACTACAAATACACACGAATAGAGCGATGCTACTGAGTAGGAAATATATATATATATATATATAGATTCACAACGGCCAGTTAGAGACTACTCATTTTTTAATTTTAAATATAAATGAGACCACTTAGGATGGGATCTCTCGAGGTTGATAGTTCAACTTTTCCGAGGACACATTTTGGGTTTATATGTTTGCTTTACTTTCTGAGAAAAAATATTACGAGTAGTAAATTATATAAATTAAAAGGGATAAAAGTGAAAAAAAATTCTTGAAACTTTGACATAAAATCCGTTGCTGCAGAAACATTAAAAATATTAAATTATTATTTCAACATCACTATTAACAAAATATTTCAGCAATGAACAAAATAAAATATTATTTAACAAACACAATTTTTTTCACTATTTACCATTATGATACCAAAAATAAAATACATATTGAAGAAACCCTTAGTTACTAATTTACAATAAACCATATTTGTGTTGGGTAATGAATGACGCGCGACATAAAAACTTCATTATTTTATTACACCATATATACACATCATTCATGACCTATAGATCCACGCCTCTCCCCCATCCGGGCTGCTATATTAACGTAAATTTACTAGTGTTATTTACCGCCACAATCTTAACTTGTTCATCAAAGATTGACTTCTTTTTTTTTAGTCTAAAAGGTAATTTGACTTGATCATTCTCTCATGAATCGTTTGTTTCACCATGGCTTACGTTTGTCATACATACATATATATATATATGTATGTATGTATGTTCCAAAGGTGTGAATTACTATTTTTTATAACATTCATAAACTAGATTGAAAAAGACCGAGACCAAAAGAGTTTGTATTCCTATGCAACTGATAAGGAATTTTAAACAGTTCGGAATTCAAGTGTTTTTTTTTTCAATTATTTACCCTATTAGGCATTGACTTCATCATCAGAGAGTTGTTGGCCGGTCCCCATCAATGCTACTTCCAAATTCAAGTGTTTTTTTTTCTTCAATATTTACTCTATTAGGCATTAACTTGATCACCAGAGATCCTTTCTTGTGAGAAAATTTTCTCCTTCGAGCCATGATTGAATCATGCAGCAATAATTATGATCATATATTAAATGAAAAAATTTGACTATAACATCATGTATAATATAATATATTTCTTTTGATATTCAAATAATCGTCATCATCTAAATTCTATGATTTTAATATATAATTTTTAAATAAATTAAAATTATATAATTGTATCATTCAATAGATATATAAAATAGAATTTATATTGTGTCAGTGCTTATTAAATATGTTTAATTGCTTTAACTTCTATAAATAAAAATAAAAAATAGTCAATGAAATAACTTAATAGAGTAATTGTAAAATTACATGAATACCCTTACATGTATTTTATTCATAATCAAGTATATATATACACACACACATGGGATGGTCTCATGTGGTACTATGACTTGCAGATTATTTTCCTAGATGCTATCTAGGAGTATATAATAAGAGGAGGACTAGTCATAAAATCGCAGAGAGTCATATATGGAGGGCGAAGAAGAGGTGAAGCTATTGGGAGCATGGTACAGTCCATTTGTTCAGAGGGTGAAATGGGGTCTGAAGATGAAGGGAGTCCAGTACCAAGACATCGAACAAGACCTCACCAACAAGAGCCCTCTTCTCCTCAACTCCAACCCTATACACAAGAGAGTACCTGTCCTGCTTCACTCCACCCACAAACCAATCTCTGAGTCACTTGTCATCGTTGAGTACATTGATGAGACTTGGGAACACAACCCCTTGTTGCCTAAGGACCCCTATCAAAGAGCCATGGCTAGATTCTGGGCTAAGTTTGCTGAGGAAAAGGTATGTGTCTCCTATTTTCTTCCATTTATTTGGTCAAAACAATGGATTTATGGTCAGATGCTATATATTATCATGTACAGAACCTTGCTAAAAGAACAAAGATAGAAAATTAAATGTATCAAGCGCGTGGCTCGCAGTATTAGTCACGATTGTGGTATCGGTGGCGGTATAACAAACTCAGACAAAATTAGTTTAAACTGAATGATATGGACCTTGTATTGGTCGATACGGTAAACCGTGATACGATAAACCATGATGCCTGTTTTTCATTACTGATCCAACAGATCTAAAGTATTCATATGTTCAAGGTTGGCTGGAGTCTTGATCAACTTAGATAGTCTCTAATGCCCTGACCCCTAAAAATGTAATGAATCTTTATATATAATTTTAGGTTTCATCATATATATATATATAAAGATTCATTACAATTTTAGGTTTCATCCTATATTCTTAGTCTGATCAAGCATGCTGATTTTTCACTGTTGATCTAGCAAATTTAAAGTGTTCATATGTTCAAGGTCGGCTAGAACCTTAGTCAACTTAAACCGTCTCTAATGGTAACCTTGGCCCCTAAAATTGTAATGAATCTTTATATTCTTTAGCTGCAAATGAATATTTATATTCTTTGGTTGCAACACATAATATATTAATAGTGGGCCATCCAATTTAATTCATCCTATGGATTCATTTCCATGAAGAATATGCATGTCTATCCACAAGTGACTCCTAGTTTTTCTTCGCTTTCCTACCTTTTCTATTATATTAAACTCTCCTGTATGTTTTCTCCTTGTTAACGTCTCCCCCCATTGAACTCAAACTTCTTTTCCATCTCTCTCACGTCTCTTATTTTTTATTCTCTCATATTTATTTCCTATTTTTTATTCTCATGAATCTTTTCGTATCTTTGAACTCTTCAATATTTATATTCTTGCAAACTTCCACTTTGTATGTGTTTCAAATTAATATTCCAGTTGGGCAGTATGGTACACTAAAGTAGAGGCAATTGTCTCTATTGGATTTTTTTTTTTGTTATTTGTATTTTCTATACACGTACTTTGATAATTATAAAAGTGCCCTCATTGAACTAGTAAAAAATTCATAAAAGTCCTTAAGAAAAACTTTCAAAATTCAGAAAGACTCCTCATATTTTAATTCATTTGCCAACAAGATTATCAAAATTCAGCGAAAAAAGGAATCATGTCTTTTGGGTTCCATAAAATATTTAAAATGCAAAATTCACACCTCCTTCGATATTTATTATTTCAAATCAAAATTTATTCTCATGGTATTGTTTGTTTGTTCTTTAATTAGATAAGTGCTCACACACACTTCCAGACTCAAACCTTAGAAGGAACACCATTGTACTAGATGTCTTTTGGTATTATCAATTTTGTCAATCTGAACTGAAAATCCACGATTTAAATCGCATATTATTTTTGGATAACAATAATAATTATATTGATATTGTTGTAGTTTACTGAAGTGGTAAGGAAAACAGTATTTCTTGATGGAGAGAAACAAGAAAAGGAAGTGATGCAAGCCATAGATGCCCTAGAAATCATTGAAGGAGAGCTCAAGGGTAAGAAGTTCTTTGGAGGTGACACCGTTGGGTATGTGGACATCGTCATGGGGTGGATTGCTGTTTGGCTTGGAGTGGTTGAGGAGGTTGCAGGCATCAAAGTGTTTGACCCTCTAAAGTTCCCCTGTTTGGATACATGGATGGGTTGCTTTTTAGAGTTACCATTCATCAAAGAGGACTTACCACCAAGGGATAACTTGGTAGCCTACTTCCACAATTACCGTCAATTTGTACTGGCTTCACCTGCTCAAATATGAGAGGTTTCGACACGAATTCTCTGGTGTACACATGCAAGCGATCTGAGTCATTTCGTGCTGTATAACACGGTGCTATTACAAAAAATTACTAAATTAAAAATAAAGAACTAGTTATGTCATGTATCTAATATTATTATCTTAATACACTTGGAAGGCTTTTCACCATCGTTTTGCTTTGTTTAGAATGCAACACCATCTCTTATTCCTAGTTTACTAACCGTGACCTATGATTAAAATTTTTAATTATGGTCAAATGTTTGTGGGAATGATTGTTTCAGATAAAACCTAACCGAAATCGTTCCTAGTCTTCATCATCTTTGGAGTAGTTCCGTCGCCGTCACCATCACCGTCGTTGTTGATGCTGGAAGACCACCGAGCTTATTTGTATATATATATATACACACATATATTTTAGAGAGAGAAACTGTTGGGGACAATGTTGTCTTTTTAAATTTGTTGATATTTTAGCTTAAAATGAATTTTAAAAATAAGGGTAGATTTGTCTTTTTCGTACGTTTTTTAACAGTGTTACAATAATTTTGAAAAGTTATTTCGGAATGATATTTGGCCAAACCTAAAGAGGTGTCAGTGAAATTAACCCTTAAATTTAAGATATTTTTTTAAATTTGGCTCACATAATTAATGAAAGTAATTTGAAAAAGTTCTTTAATTAGTTCGGGGTAAGATAATAATTTCACTTATTTTCTTGAGAAGAATACGATTCATTTGAATTCTTTGAAAAACAAAAACAGAAGAGCGAACCATCATTTCTTTTTCCTCCTCTTTTTTTCCTTTGAAAATTCAGAAAAAGCAGACTTCCCGAAACCGCCAAATTGTCTGAGTCATTATCCTCGTGGGAGAAAAACCGAATCACAGTTGCGAGTATGCATTAATTAATTGGCAACGAGCCTCCTACTTTTTAAATGAAAATTAGATATATAACACTAAATCACAGATCTTGATATAGACTCAAACACAGGCTCGGACAGGGGAGTAACTCAACTACTAGAATAATACCACAATGCATATCACCTGTTATTAACTTAAAATATACAATACAAATACAATAAATGAGGGAATAAAATTATAAAAATAAGGATATTTTAGGATAATATAACTACAAATATATATATATATATAATATTCATATTGTGTATATATTGAAATAACAAGTAAGGTCAACCCAAATTTACACGTCTTGTTGTCGTGTTCAAGTGGTTTACGTTGGCAGGTGTAAAAAATTGAGTGGATGGAAGTCTGAACATGAAAAATTTGACACCTCTGTTATAAAAGCGGAAGGCCGACAAGGAAGAGCTTGTCATAAAATCACAGAGGAGTCATATATGGCGGGAGAGGGAGAGGTGAAGCTATTGGGGACACGTTCCAGTCCATTTGTTCACAGGGTGAAATGGGTTCTGAAGCTGAAGGGAATCGATTACGAAGAGATAGAACAAGACCTGATCAAAAAGAGCCCTCTTCTTCTCAACTCCAATCCTGTATACAAGAAAGTACCTGTCCTGCTTCACTTCCACAAACCAATCTCAGAGTCACTGCTCATCATCGAGTATATTGATGAGACTTGGAACCATAACCCTTTATTGCCTAACGACACTTATCAAAGAGCCATGGCTAGATTCTGGGCTAAGTTTATTGAAGAAAAGGTATCTCACTTCTCTCTCCCTCTCTCTCACTCACACACACACACTAGGTTCTCATAATGATCATGATGTCCTATATATTTTCTTTGATTAATCTAATTAAAACAATAGATTTAGTGTAAATACTGTTGGGAAACGTGCTAATTTTAAAAAAAAATTTCAAGAGATTTAAATTCATAAATCTTGATTCATTACATAGAGACAAGTTTTATACAAAAATAAAAATATGATGTATCATTCAATTAATGGATTGAATACTTACATCAAAGGTCTGAGTAAACCTTTAAAACTTTCTTCTAAAGTGAATGATCTCACTTATTGTAGATCCCTTAGCAAGATGCCTTCTCCTTGGATCTCCATCTTCTTGGTAATTATTTTACCTTTAGGAATCACTCATAAGCCTCCATGAATTACCTTAGAAAACTAGGCTTGTGGGAGCCTCTATTAGATGAGAACATAAACCCTAATTTTCTAGAGAGAGAAAATTTGTTCCTTTTTTTTTCTCATAAAAATCACCCCCTAAAATATACATAGATCATGTATATTTATAGGCAACATAAAAATAAAGAAAAGGAAACAACAAATCATTCTCCATCTCTAATTCATATGTCTCAAATCTAATATGATTCCAATATCAAGTTGGGCTATGAGTGAGAATTCATTGGGTCTATTATTTTATTGGCTACAATGAATTAATAATTGGCCCGGTCCATGGACCCAATTCATAAATTAATTTCTACTCCACTAAAAGAAATTAATTGAACTCCAATTAAATAATAAATAACCTCTAAGTTAATATTGCACTTTGACCCCTCTATGCATAATTAGTTATCGGATAAATATAGCCATCAATCCGACTACTTAATTAATATATTTATTTTGGTACCTTTGATTATTTCTGGCTCGATCACAATAAAACATTTGTTTGACAAAAATAATAATTTAAATAAATAAATATATAATAAATCATTTTGTCTAAAAACACACGAAGGCCTTCGAATTTACTTTGTGACCAACCATAATCAATACAAAATAAATACAAGTAGCAATGATGCAAATATTGAAAATATAACCCTCTAACTATTAATTACATAACTACCCAAAGTGTCGGTCTAAGGATCCCGAAGAATCCGCCGAACAAATCAAAATAATTATTAATTAATAAAAGAGTCTATACTTTTCTCATGCTTAAGAGTCAAATGCCATGACGGTGATAGGGAGTAATTGCATACGACGGCTCTCGCAATATATCTCAACCTAACGCGGATCCAGTTCAAGTCTTAATTAATTATGAGTCCATCCATAATTACCGACTATGAACAATTTATAATTACTATTTATATATCATGCATTGATTGCCATCACATACATATATATAAATATTTCTTGTAATTACATGGACACTATCAATTTCATAATGAATCAAAATATAATACATTGAATTCACCAATTGTATAAATCATAAATATTTCAGAAACGTCAGGAACATATGTCAATTAATCCAAACAGGAATTTGCTATGCCAGGGCATATAAATCCCAACAGCTCCCACTTGCCCTCATAGCCAATTCAAATTGCACCTAACTCCAATGTTATCCACATAATGACCAAAATTATTGATCAATGACACCTTTGATAATGGATCAACAAAGTTGTGTTCCAATGCAATGTTCTAGCTACAAGTACATTTTCTTGCCGGATAATATCATGTAGAACATGATACTTCCTATCAGTGTATTTTGTTCATCTATGGAACCTTGGGTCATTGGTTTGGACTACTTCTGCACTATTGTCGCAATATAGCTCGATAGGCAGGCTAGTATGCTTCACAACCTCTAAATCAGTGAGATCAAACCAATAGGCTTATATTACCACCTTTAAGGCTGCAATATATTCCACCTGCAGGTTTGAGTCAACAGCTGAAATCTGCTTGACAATCTACCAACTGATTTCCCTTCCATTAAGTGAACATACACTAAGTCATGAACCTCATAGTATCTACTTCTGATTAAAAATCAGAACTAGCATACCTGACTAGGACCATATCATCACATCCATAAATGAATATGATATCATTGGTTCTCCTTAGGTACTTAATGATATTTTTCACAATAGACCAGTTGTCAAGTTCAGTATTGGAATGATCTCTACTGACTATCCCTACTATGCAGCGGATGTCCTGTTTGGTATAGACCATGGCATATATGAGACTCTCATATGCCGAAACATATTGTTCCAGTCTCATTTGCTCAATCTCCTTTGATAGTCTTGAAAAACTACTTACTAGAGAGAGCCATCCATATCAATAAAGCAAGAACTCATTCTTTGAGTTATGCATACCAAACCTGGTCAAAACTTTATCAATGTAGGATTATTAAGATAAGCCTATTTTCCTTTTAACCTGATCTTGCAAAAGGTTGATCCTAGGAATATAGCTTACATCTTAAGAATCCTTCATTTAAAAGTAATTGAACAACTACCTTTTTATTGATGACACAACTTCCACATCATTCTAAATGAGTAGGATGTCATCAATATATATAGAATTAGAAAAATAATGACATTCCCTTGTACACTCATGATTTATTCACTAAGAAATCTTCTGGTATCTTTTTGTAGATTAACTTGCCTTCCATAGGAATCACCCTACTAGAAAGTTCTACAAGATCCCAGAATTTATTAGAATACATCGATTCCAACTCTGATTTCATAGTAACTCACCAAAACGATCTGTATCCACATCGGTTCACGCTTCTGTGTAGCTTACTGGGTCCAACTCATGTTTAACAGGGATGTCCATAATGGTCTCACCTAAAAACATGATTCTGTCGAATTGGATGATAATCCTCCCACTACATCAATGTACCGATGCAAGAATCTGTGTAGTAGATGATGCTGACGCATCAATAGGGAATTCATATATTATTCTCAATCTCTATAATAAGTGTGTTCACATGTGGTACATCTGGTACTCATACCAAATTCTCTAACATTATGCTACTAGGTATGTGATTCATAATATGATTCTCCTATAGATAAACAGTGAGTGAAAACAATTAACTTTTATCTTTGAGATCATAAAATAATCCATCCTAGTGACATTTAGAGTAGCTATCAAATCTAGCATGCCTATGATCTGCTTCCAACTTACTTGTCCATATCAAGCGCACATGTGCAAGACTACCCCATATGTGCATATGATTCAAACGAATATTTAGTCAAAAACACAGCTCAACGGTATCCTTGAGACAGACTAAGATGGAATGCAGTTCATAATGCGCATCGATGTCATTAACGCTAAACTCTTAAATGAAAGAGATAATGTGGCATAATTGATCATAGATCTACCCATGTTAAGTGGAATTCTGTTATTCCTATTTGACACCTAAATTAATTTAGCGTCAATTGCGGAAAACTGGTACACAACACCCTCATTGACCATATAGTCTTTGCACTATCCCAAGAAATACTCAAATACTCGATCAGATCGAAGTGTCTTGATAAGTTTACCTAATCTGTGCTCCACATCAGTCTTGACCCTCTCGGAATATACCAAAAGTATAAGACTTGTGTCGCAACAGGTAAATTTATCCAAAACGTGAGTAATCTTGATTGGATGTTCATAAGACTACGCGTGTACGTGTGTACCGACTCCAATTGTTCTTTATGTCTATTTCATTTGGCTGATTAAGCCCTTAGAGTTATCTATCCTTCAAAACAAGATTCACAAGTTTGGTTTAGGCTCCTCTGCCTCACTAGGTAATAAACCTTCTTTAACCAATCTTTAAATCTCATTTTGATTGATTACAACCCAAAAATAGACACCAAAAATACAATGAGTCAGGAATAACAAATGTTCTCTTAACATTCAATCTAGAAGATGCAACATTAATTTCTACATCCTGCAAATCTTAAGAGCTTGTGATTATAGTATATTAACCATCTTTCAATGCACCAGAAGCAATCGCATATCTATTCAATTTTATAAAACCAGTTTTAGAAAATAACAACACAGTTTTTATAAACCACAAGTGAAACAAAAATTAGATAGCGTCTAACCTCTGTGCATAAAGATAATTCTCTAATACTAATATCCTCATACTCTCTAATTTCAGATGTAATACTCCCACTAACTTAGTTACAACATTGACATCAGGTCAAGTACAAATATATTCCATATCATCGAGACTTCTGGATTCCTGAAATCCGTGCAATGAATTGCAAACATGTTTAGTGGCTCCAGAATCTATTCATCAGAAATTAATAGATACAACCACAGAACCTGGCTCAATGATTAAATATATATTTTCCTATGCCACGTCATTGCTTAGACAGTTTGTCCTTTAGTGTCTTAGTTAGCGACAAAAGAAACAGTTTTCTTTGCCCTCAACATACACTGCCTTATTCCCTTTAACCTTTTAGATACCTATGTTTTGTGCTAGCCTAGTCCTATTATCATCCTTCTTCTTTGCTTTGCCCGTCCACTTGGGCCTAGAAGAAGATGGTATAGACTAGGTTAGATTGATAGGAACGCCCATACTCTTGATTATCCCTTCATCTGTTACCAATTCTATAAGAATATCAGCGAGTGTGAACTCAAACTGATTCCTTATTTAGTTCACTCTAACAGAGTCGAATGAGTTTGGTAACAAGGCAATAATCATGTCAACTTGAAACTTACCACCCAAGTCAGCCTTATTGATCTCCAGCTAATTTTTAAATAATAAACAATCATTTTCCAAAATTTGATTTCAAACTGGAGTTCATGAGGCTATCTTGATGGTATTTAAATTTGACACAGTACTTAAGCATATGCTCTATCTAATCTCACCAAAATATCTCATTGACATTTAATATGATGCTTGAAGAAAATAAAATAATACAAATGTTAGCTTTGGAGTATATTCGAGCTAAACTCTAGAATATTGCACCAAGTCATATCATTTGCCTTATCTAATTTATTAAAAGCATTAATGTCAAATTTGGTATCTCAAAGTAAAAGAGATAGGTATAGGAGTAATAAACACATTTTGTACCCTTACGTTGTGAATAAAATATCTAAGTTCATTTTCCAGTCATTATAAATAAGGTCCAATATCATAGAATATGTAAGCAAGCAGATAAACTGGAGTAGACATAATTAATCTGAATATAAATGCATTCATACAATATGCAAGGTGAACTATTAATAATGCCATGCATATTTAAAATTAAAATGAGCTTGTTAACCACATAATATAATAAATCTCAATCGAACAAGAGATCATTATCATTATTGGTGAACAATCTCTTTTAATTAATGCGGGTCCCTCAACTCTGTAGCATAATAAATCAACTAATCAATATGTCAATAACTTATCCTGTTGGAGGAGTTCATTATTACTATTATTGAGATTCATTTGCTATTAAGCGAGCACTTCCATTAAAATAATAATATGTGGGTCCCTAAACCACTGCATGAAAAATCGAATAACCAATACGCCAATAACTTATTCGGTTGGCGAAGTTCATTATTGTTATTGGCGGGCAAATCCCATCATTTCCATATCTCTTAAGACAATGCCTTATCTATCATATGAAATGATTCTCGATTTAATTTAGCGTTTCTAAAATCACCTAGTATAGACCACTTCGTTGGGAAGCTAACACTATTGATTTTAGATTGAGTGTATAACGTTATTAAAACTCTAACGAAAAATTAAACATTAAATATGTTGTCATTATAATCTAGACTCTTTAAATCATGCGTAGGGCCTTATTTTTAAAGATCTAATTACAATGAACATTTAATATTTGTATTTTCATGAGACAACCATTCTTGTAATATTAAGACTCTTCAAATCATGCGTGGGGCCTTATTTTTGAAGATCTAATTACAATGGTGTTAATAACAAAGGCCATGGGGCAATGTATAAAAATCCCCGCTCCCACTCAATTTTTAATCATTCATAATTAGGGTTTTCATTTTATTCATTTACATGATATAATGCATGCAAAACGTCTTGATTTTAATCCAATTAAATTTAGAAAATATTTGGACTTTAAACGATTCACTAATATTTAACTTGAGCCACACTTCAAAAATAATTTATAAAAATAATTTTTCGTTTCCCAATAAGTGCCCTCTAATTAATTAGTAATCAAATCCAATTAATTTTCATAATTTAACTAATATAAATCAAGCCATTTAAATAAATATCATGGATCCAATGCATGATTAATAATTAATTAACAATTATATATTCCATGCATTTCATACATCGCATAAATAAATAAATGACAGATAAAGCAAATAAAATGGCCAATGGAATCAGCTTTTAACATTTAATTGCTCTAATCATTGCGCGAAGATCTTCCATCAGCTTGCAAACACCCACATAAGGCTGGTACGCACCAGGAGAAGCAAAACACCGCTTGGAACGCGCCTAGAGGGCCCCACACGCGCTCACACGCGCCTGGGGCATGCTGCAGGTCTTTGCACGCGCTCCCACGCGTCCCCACGCGCTTGGGGCGCGTGGGACGCGCCCTCACGCGCTCCCACGCGCCTGGGGCGAGTGGGACGCACCTCCACGCGCCTTCACGCGCGTGGAGGACAAAACCTCCATGGCTGGCGCGTGAGATCCACGCGCCAGCTTGCCCATTGATTAGTCCACTCCTGGCGCGTGTGGAACACGCTCCAAGCTCACCTAACCGCTGCCACACCTGATCCGAGCCACCTCCGACGCCTCTTCTCGCCGCCGGCGAAGCTCCGGCCACCGGAAAAACGCCGGAAAAATTCCAAAAAATCCGGAAAAATCCCAGAAAATTAAATTAAGCCTCAAAAAATTCCAGAAAAATTCCAAAAAATTCGGAAAAATTCCAGAAAATTACTGAAGCATAATTTAACCATTTTGGATCTTCTTGAAGCTTTATAGCATCCTTTGATGAATATTACATGGCTTTAAAAATATTTACAACTTGAAATACAATGGGAAAAATAAATTACATCATTGAACTTTCAAACGGCTAAATCAAAGCCTTAATTACATTCATCCAAAGATAAAATTACATTCAATATACCTAGAAGCTTCATCCATGGCCCATACATACATCATCATTCATTCACAATTATTCATACATCATCATGTATCAATATATATCAACATATTAAATCATACATCAACATACATTAATAAAAATATATATGAATATAATTTTGGATCCATGAATGATGATTTTCATAAAATCATGATCTCTAGTAATGAATCAAACCATGCTCTGATACCACTGTTCGGAAACGTGCTAGTTTTAAAAAAACTTTTCGAGGGATTTAAATTCATAAATCTTGATTCATTACATAGAGACAAGTTTCATGCAAAAATAAAAATATGATGTATCATTCAATTAATGGATTGAATACTTACATCAAAGGTCTGAGTAAACCTTTAAAACTTTCCTCTAAAGTGAATGTTCTCACTTATTGTAGATCCCTTAGCAAGATGCCTTCTCCTTGGATCTCCATCTTCTTGGTAATTATTTTGCCTTTAGGAATCACTCATAAGCCTCCATGAATTACCTTGGAAAACTAGGCTTGTGGGAGCCTCTATTAGATGAGAACATAAACCCTAATTTTCTAGAGAGAGAAAATTTATTCTTTTTTTTTTCTCATAAAAATCACCCCCTAAAATATACATAGACCATGTATATTTATAGGCAACATAAAAATAAAGAAAAGGAAACAACAAATCCTTCTCCATCTCTAATTCATATGTCTCAAATCTAATATGATTCCAATATCAAGTTGGGATATGAGTGAGAATCCATTGGGCCTATTATTTTATTGGCTACAATGAACTAATAATTGGCCCGGTCCATGGACCCAATTCAATTAATTCATAAATTAATTTCTACTCCACTAAAAGAAATTAATTGAACTCCAATTAAATAATAAATAACCTCTAAGTCAATATTGCACTTTGACCCCTCTATGCATAATTAGTTATCGGATAAATATAGCCATCAATCCGACTACTTAATTAATATATTTATTTTGGTACCTTTGATTATTTCTGGCTCGATCACAATAAAACATTTGTTTGACAAAAATAATAATTTAAATAAATAAATATATAATAAATCATTTTGTCTAAAAACACACGAAGGCTTTCGAATTTACTTTGTGATCAACCATAATCAATACAAAATAAATACAAGTAGCAATGATGCAAATATTGAAAATATAACCCTCTAACTATTAATTACATAACTACCCAAAGTGTCGGTCTAAGGATCCCGAAGAATCCGCCGAACAAATCAAAGTAATTATTAATTAATAAAAGAGTCTATACTTTTCTCATGCTTAAGAGTCAAATGCCATGACGGTGATAGGGAGTAATTGTATACGACGGCTCTCGCAATATATCTCAACCTAACGCGGATCCAGTTCAAGTCTTAATTAATTATGAGTCCATCCATAATTACCGACTATGAACAATTTATAATTACTATTTATATATCATGCATTGATTGCCATCACATACATATACATAAATATTTCTTGTAATTACATGGACACTATCAATTTCATAGTGAATCAAAATATAATACATTGAATTCACCAATTGTATAAACCATAAATATTTCAGAAACGTCAGGAACATATGTCAATTAATCCAAACAGGAATTTGCTATGCTAGGGCATATAAATTCCAACAAATACGATATTACATGTATCAACAGCTAGTGTGAATAGGTATTACCTGATAGCCTTGGTAGAGCGCCTAGCTTCCTAAGCATATCCGCTTGATACACTAGCGAGAAAAAAGAAAAGTGATATGAAAAGACGCCAGATTTCTGGGGTAGTGGTTCTGTAATTTGTCAATACATTAATTCTGTTTTTCAACACATTATTTAAATCTGATTGAAATAGATAGATTTAATTATGTCGAAAAGCTTACGTACTTCATAGTATTGTACATACATACAGCAGAAGATCCAAGCTCACATGCAAGGTCCTTATCTCTATTTACTACATAGCAAATTGCATATTATATTTCAATAACATTAATTCTATTGATATTAATATTGTAGTTCACTGAAGTGATGAGGAGAGTACTATTTCTTGATGGAGAGCAACAAGAAAAGGAAGTGATGCAAGCCAGGGATGCCCTAGAAATCATTGAAGGAGAGCTAAAGGGTAAGAAGTTCTTTGGAGGTGACACAATTGGGTATTTGGACATTGTCTTGGGGTGGATTGCTCCATGGCTTGAAATGCTTGAGGAGGTTGCAGGCATCAAAGTGTTTGACCCTCTGAAGTTCCCTTGTTTGGATACATGGATGGGTTGCTTCTTAGAATTACCATTGATCAAAGAGAGTTTACCACCAAGGGATATCTTGGTAGTCTACTTTCAAAATATCCGCCAATTTGTATTAGCTTTATCTGCTAAAAAATGAGAGCTATAAATGAAGGGCTAGTTTGTCATTGCGTTTAATATTGTTGTCTAAATAAACTTGGCAGTCTTTTTATACATATATAGATCCCATAATATACGCATCATTCAAGTTAGAAGTGTGACTAGAAAGCGAGACTTTAAGAAGTAACCTTCCGAATCCCTACCAACACCGTTATGTCCCTTAGAGCAACAATTTATACAATAATAGAAAGAACATTAATATAATTTCATAAGTAAAATAAAGAACTTATATGACAAAAGTAAGAAAATTGGTATTTTCATCACTGTAGGGTCCGGAGAGTTTTTTACTTCGAACCTGTACAGATCTCCCGTTTATAATAAAGCAACCTTATTTTTACTCTAAAACTCATCTTTCACAATAAAAATATCCGCCAATTTGTACGAGATTTACCTGCTAAAAAATGAAGGGCTGATTTGTTATGCGTTTAATATTGTTGTGTAAATAAACTTGGCAAGCTTTTCATAATTTTCACCATCACTTCACTTTGTTGAGAATGAATACTGTATATTATATTTAATTACATCAATTACAATTAACAAGGTTTATAATTTATACAACAATGGAAAAAAGTTAGTATAATTTCATAAGTAAAATGAAGAATTTAAATATATATGACAAAGGTAAAAAAATTGATATTTTTGCCATTGTAGGGTTCAAAGAATTTTTTATTTCGAACCGTGACGCTTAGCTTATAATAAAGTAAAATTATATTTTAACTCCTCTTTCACAATAAAAGATATGGAGGAAATATACATTTCATACAACAGAACAGTGGCACGTGCGGTGCGTGTAGGGAAGGCAACCGCTGGATCCTCGTTCCGATTCTCGTTCCACCGCTGTCAATCACCGACCGAACAATGAAATCATGCCACGACAGGTTCGATCCTCGTTCCGATTCTGGCGAGTTTGGTGAAGATCTTGATGAAAGGGGTTTGCAGATGGTCTCTGCAATTCTGATCCGACAAAGACAAGGCGATTCTACAATTCTGATCCGAAATAGCTTTGTCGTGGCGACGATGAATTCTCCGGCGAAGACAAGCGATGTTTGAGAAGTCCGCCTATTTGGACTTCCACTCTATCATCAACCAAAGAGTCAAGTTCTGGGTTGTGGGTGGTGGACCGGTGGTGCCTATTGTGTGGTTGTGTTGTATATATATATATATATATATATATATATACATATAGATGAGAAGGGTAGTTTGATCAGCTAAGGATTTTGATATTTTATAATTAAAATTAATAAAATAGTGAAGGGCAAAATAGACTTTTCACATGCTTTAAGGCTTTATTTGAATGACAAATTTCACAAGGGAGTGGTTGTCCAAAAATAAACAAACTTTCATTTGAATGTTCTTCTCTTTACTTTACTCTAATTTTAAATAGGACAAATTTCTCAAAACCTCCAAAACTATTAAAAAGTGATCATAAAACCCCAACCAGTTTTAAAAATTCCCAACAATATAACAATGTTATCATTTTACCCCAACTCTATCAATTGGGGCTGTTAACCCACTCGTGGTTAACAATTGATGTGCCAAATTGACTTTTATGACGAAAATACCCCTGCTGTCACATGTGTCAAACAAGTGATATTTATTTATATGTGTTATTTCGAAAATACCCCCAAGCATCCCTTCTCTCCTCCATGCATGAAATAGTTTAAGGAAACCCTAGTTCATGCCATTTTCTTGATTTTGGATGGCAATTTATAATTAAAAAATTACAGCATTTACGATCTATTAGTTTTCTAAAGTGAAGTTCTTGATTTTGGTTGGCAATTTATAATTAAAATACTACAACATACAAAAATCTAATGAATAATTTTGTTCTTGATTGTAATTTGAATGGGGCACACATTTGCAGAGCTTTCATTTTGAAACTTGAATAACTCAAAACCATATCCATTGCCCTCTTATCATTCTTGTAATCAATCCAAGCCGCAATCAAATTCCCACTCTTGAGAAACTTGAATAACTCAAAACCACATCTAATGTCTCTCTCTTCTTCTTCTCTATCATGCCTTTCTCTGTTTCGCCGGCCATTTTTTTTCCCGAGAAAGTGTAAGAAAATCCGAAATTACATCCTCTGAGCTTCATAGGGATTTTGTTGAATTTTGTTTCAACTCAATGCAACATGGGAAACTCGTAAGTTTTTTGTGTTCTTCATTCAAAATCTCCAACTTTACTAGATTTTCCTGAGAAATTATTCTGGAAATTGGCTTCCTAACAAAAATCAACCATATGGGTATTTGAAATTTTGTTTCAACTCAATGCAACGCATGGAACTCGTAAGATTTTTTGAGTTGTTCGTTTAAAATCTCTAACTTTACTAGATTTTCCTTCTTATTTTCCCGAGGGATTCTGTTGGAAATTGACTTCCTAACCAAAAACACCCATCTAGGTATTTCAAAATTTCACCAAATCTAGCTTTATTTGTGTAATAAATGGCGGAGGCTGAGGGAAAAAGGGAAACGAACCGTGTTTCTCTACAGGAAGTGGAGGAAGAAGATGTGGAGCTGAGTCTCAGGCTTTCGTTGAACGGTCGATTTGGGGTGGACCCAAATAGAGAGAGGAAGCTAGTTCGCTCGTCATCCATACCAGAGTTCATGATGGCAGAGAATAACTACGCGGCATGGGTTGCGACGCCGGTGGAGGTGTATGCGCCGCTGGTGAGGACGTGTTTGCTTCCTCCGGTAGGGACAGAGATGGAGACTGAGGAGTGTTAGAAACGGAAGGAATTGCAGTCGCTAAGACACATGGAGGCGAAGAGGAAGAGAATAAAGAAGCTCAGAATTGTGGTAATGTCAATGGGGAGTTTTCGGTGCCTTCTGGGATGGGCAGTTGGGCTTTTGGAGCAATTGGAGGGGATATGAGTGTTCCGGGGACGGAATCGAAACCCGAAAATGGGATCTGCTTGGAGAGTTCAATTGGATCAAGATCACAATGGAGTGGCTCTTCTAGGATTTCTGAATTTGAGTCTCAACCAATCAAAGGTATCAAGATCGAACGGCAACTACACCAACCAATGGCCTTTCTTTCCCGCTCTCGAATTCCTAATCGGCTACTCCTGCAAGCCCTCGCCGTCGTCTACGCCTCACCGGAAAACACCGCCGAATTTTAACACATTCTTAGACCCAAGACCAGAAAACCCAGTTACCTGCCGGAGACACCGCCGAATTTTCATGCTTCTTCCCCATTCCAATTCCTAACAAAAAAGGGCTGAAGAAGGCGAAGAGTGTTGATCCCATTGCTCACCGACATCATGCATAGCCAAATATCACCGATTCCCTTTCACAGACCCATTGATCCTGGGTTCGCAATTTTGGCATCGAGATCCGGCCACCGCTACCTCTAATCCACAACTCACAAGCCATCGATACCGCCTATGGTACCCTGATTCGCAGCCGCCATGTATACATATAGAGATATATATATGATACCGCCGGTGGTACCCTGATTCGCAGCCGCCGTGTATATATATAGATATATATGTGTGTGTGTGTGTGTGTGTGTGTGTGTGTGTATAGATAGATATATATGTGTGTATATACTGCTGAATTGTAATTAATTGTTAATTAAATATTAATTATAATTGTTAATTACACTGCTGGATTAAATCAAAAGGATAATATTGTAATTTGTAAAATATGATTTTTTGATTTTTTAAATAAAATGGAATATCATAAGGATAATTTAGTCATTTCACATACCTTTAACGGTTCATTGATAGAGTTAGGGTAAAATGATAACGTTGTTATATTATTGGAGGTTTTTAAAACTGGTTGGGGTTTTATAATCACTTTTTAATAGTTTTGAAAGTTTTGAAAAATTTGCCCTTTTAAATATTAATGAGACCACCTAGTTAGTAATTAGGATGGGATCTATCGAGGTTGATAGTTCAACTTTTCCCAAGGGCACATTGTGGGTATATGTTTGCATTACGTCTTGAGAAAAAATATTACGTGTAGTAAATTAGATAAATCAAAATGGATAAAGTCCATCTATTTTATCCTTTTTTTATTAAATTTATTAAATTATTTTCATTATATCTTCTCTTATCTAAATATTAATTATACTATTTACCTTAATTTTATTATTAGTATCAATTTATCATAAAAATAATAAATAAATAAATTTGTAACTACTATTTTACCATTTATTATTAAAAATTTACTATTTATAATAAAACTTATTATACTCAGCTTAAAAAAAAAAATTATTGTAAAAAAAAAAAAAAAATCAATTTTTTCATACAATATATCCATGAAAAATTAATAAATTACTTATACCTTCTTTTTTATGCAATAAATTAATTTTTATTATTTACTATTATAATACAAAAAAATAAAATACATACCAAAGAAACCCTTAATTACTAATTTACAATACCATATTTGTGTTGGGAAATGAATGATGCGGGATATAAAAACTTCATTAAGATATTCTAAAAATGTACTACTTTTTATAATATTCACAAATTATCATTTTAACTATACAAGTGCACTAATTACGAAATATTATTTTATTTTTTAATAAGATAAATTTAAAATTAAACTCTTGTCAATATAATAAATATATATATATATATATATATATATATATATATATATATATATATTAAAAATTCAGAAATCATAAAAAATTAATTTTCCCAAAATAACCCAAAAAAAAATTGTAATTGTTGTTTTGTCATTGTTAGGCTGGCTTATCAGAAAAAATCAGGTTGAAAAGGACGAGAGACCAAGTACTTGGCCGCCGGTACCCCCATCAATGCTCCTTTCAATTACCCCTTTTCCTTCTTGTAAGAAAATTTTCTCCTCCGAGCCATGATTGAATCATGCACCAATAATTATGATCATATATTAATGTGTTCAGTCTATAAAAAAGCCAAAAACACAATTAAATGACAAAATTTGACTATAACATCATATATAATTATGATCATATATTAAAGTTAATTTGACTATAACATCATATATAATATAATATATTTCTTTTGACATTCAAATAACATAATC